TTAAATCTGCTAGTTGATCTAACAACTTAAAGCCAAACTCCAGCTAATAAGCAGTTACAACAGTTTTTTTTTCCCCTTTTGAGATTATTATTATTATACAGTATTTATAAAGCGCCAATAGTTCGCTCAGCGCTGTACATTACAAAGGGGGACAGAACATGTGACAGAACAATACCAATACAATGCAAAACATGAGGGATTGAGGGCCCTGCTCTTTCAAGCTTACAATCTAGGAGGGAGGGGATGGTGGCACAGGAGGAGAAAGCTGTGGGGGATGGAGTGGTGGGAAGAGTGGAGGAGGTCGGTCACATTAGCAGGGGGTGGGGTAGGCTTCCCTGAAGAGATGATAAAGGTTTTACATAAATAAAAGCTGATCATTGTAAGCAGCCCTGTCCGTGTTAAATTGTTTTTCCCAACCCTGAAACTGCAGGAGAGCCTGTTCTTTGAAAAACAACAGATTTACTAGCTAGATCACGAGATGGAAATAAAAAAAAGAAAGCCTAAAAAAGAAAAACAATCACGTGAAATAATTGGTAATCTGCAATATAATACATTTTTGCTTTTGGGTTTAATACTGATAAAAGCATATATTACACATAAAGTGTTTAAAAATCATTATCAGCAATAAAGAACACTTTATTGCTCATACATAACCATTATTGTTTAGTCTGTAACCCATACACTACTGACACTTCCCAACAGTAACGTTGTTTGCGTCTACCAAATTCAAACCATCGCTGGGATAATCAAAGTATAAATCTAAAATTCTGAACTTGATTGATCACTGTAGATAATGGCTGTTCAAAGTGCTAACATGAGGTTCCCTACAATATAGAAATTAGAGTTAGGGATTGCCATACACATTACAATCTGACCATACAATCTTTGTACAATCAGCTTCGGACTTACCAAAACTATTTAATATGAGCACTTACCTAATCTAGCAGTATATGAATAGTTACTTCTGTACTGCCACTTGTAAGATTACTATCCTCAAACATGAACTAATCAAGCTGCTGCGAACACCTTAAGCCCTGGTTCACACTTATGTTGTTTTTCATGCATTTTAAACCGCAGTGATACGCATGACATGGAAAATAAAATGAATTCCTGTGAGGGTCATTCACATCTATGCAGTCCACATGCACTGTCTCTTGAAAAATGATCGTGTGCGTCTTTGGACGGGTGCGATCCATAGATTTTGAGTTCCATAGGGTTGAATGTAAATCGCATGTGAAATGCTTATGTGTTCCCATCACATGCGATTCAAGCTGTCTCTTGAAAAATGATCGTGTGCATCTTTGGACGGGTGCGATCCATAGATTTTGAGTTCCATAGGGTTGAATGTAAATCGCATGTGAAATGCTTATGTGTTCCCATCACATGCGATTCAAGCAGTCTCTTGAAAAATGATCGTGTGCATCTTTGGACGGGTGCGATCCATAGATTTTGAATTCCATAGGGTTGAATGTAAATCGCATGTGAAATGCTTATGTGTTCCCATCACATGCGATTCAAGCTGAAAAGCCTGAATCGCACTTGAAAACGGAAGGAATTTGCACCAGTTCAGTGTGAACCTAACCTAAATGTGTTCCCATATCAAATCTTATGTAACTTTTAAAATCACCTGGTGTTGCGTTGCTCTATAAATGTAAATAATAGAACTACAAAAAAACCCCTTACAAATACACAATTGTGCCACAAAACATTATTAAGTCATACAGGCTTAATACTACAGCTCCTCTTCTTCAAAACAATTATATTGAGACCAATAACCAAAAATAAATGAAATTGTGATCAGGTAAACGCTACCACAAATCCAGCCCTCCAGCAACTCTAAAAAACAATGCACATGTAATGCAAAATGTGCACAATTGTGGAAATAAAAATTCTTTACAGTGTTTAGATGTTAAAAAAAAATTCTTTACATTAAACATGAAGTTTCAATAGAATGACTAATACCACAACACCTTCGTTTCAAAGAAGTAATCTGGCACCAATATGTATATATAAATGAAGGCAAGTAATGCCACGACTCCAGCGCTCCAGGAGCTTTCAATGGCAAGCTGTAGAAATAGGAAGAGTTAACCCAACCACAGCACAATGCACCCAGCCTGCGTGGTTAGCAGGTAAAAGCACCCTCAGCTCGATTCATCCAAGCCATGCCCACAACATGTTTCGCCCCAGCTCTGGGGCTTAATCATGGAGGTCTTTTAACATCAATATAAAATAAAAACAGCACATATGTGAAAATAAACGTTCTTTGTATTCACTCACGATGACCATATAACCAGAGTAGTGCTGCTGTCGCTCCAGTTCTCCACTGAAAAAATATCAAACAACGTGCTCCACCTATTTGCCTAGACCAGTGGTCGGCAAGCCGCGGCTCTTTACACACTTTAATGCAGCTCTTCTGTGTGCTGGGCGCCTGCTCCCCTCCCTCCTCTCGGGCAGCCGCCCCAAAAGTCAGGACTCTGCAGCTAGCCCAGCAATGGGCAAACTACGGCCCGGCGGACCTTTTAATCTGGCCCGCGGAGCGTGGCAAACATTGGCTGTCAGGATGTAGGCGGGGCAGCGTGATGAACTCCTCTCCTCTCACAGTCCACCCTGAAGACCGGAACGGCGCGGGAACACGGCGAGAGGAACGCGCGGAGCAAAGGTAAGTGAATTGACACAATATGGGGAATGAATTACTATGGGGAGTGAATTACTATAGGGGGGATGAATTACTATAGGGGGGATGAATTACTATATGGGGGATGAATTACTATGGGGGGGATGGGGGAATTACTATATGGGGGATGAATTACTATATGGGGGATGAATACTATATGGGGGATGAAGTACTATATGGGGGATGAATTACTATATGGGGGATGAAGTACTATATGGGGGATGAATTACTATATGGGGGATGTATTTTCAGTTTTAAAAATGTGGCTCTCAAAATAAATTTCAATCGTGGTTTTGGCGAGATTTGGCTCAGTTGAAAAAAAAAGGTTGCCCACCACTGGCCTAGACTCTTACCTCAGACATTGGACCCATAATGATACTGGTGTAGAATACTTGTCCCCTTCTCATGGGGTAGCTGGTGGACAAGATTTCATTTCCAAAAGGACAGGGATTTTTCATCCAGTCATCAAGGTATGTATGTCCCCTTTACACCAAGGTATGTATGTCCCCTTTTAAGGGGTTAACCCTCTGTGAAAAGGCTGAAGGCAAACTCTAAACAAACAATTCACCCCATAGTGTAGTATTTCTTAATTGTGTCAAATTAAAACTTCTTGCACTTTTATTGAAAAAGTTGACAGCATTATCAATAAAATTGCATTGGTATTCTCAGTTTGATGTATTGCTACTCCACTTCCGGATTGAAAAAAAAACGGAAATGGTATCACCTGGCTCCACCCAACGTGTTGCGTCATAGATCACATAACTTCATTCTTGCCCTTTGGAAGTGCCATCTTACCCACCAGCTACCCAATGAGAGGGGACAAGTATTCCAGACCTGTATTCTTATATGGATCTAAAGTTTCAGGTGAGTTTCAGCACATGGAGGTGGAGCACATTGTTTGGTATGTTTGCAGTGCAGCACTGGAGTTATAACACCATTATCCTGGTTATATGGTCATTGTCAATGAACACAAAGAACTCCTATTTTCACATGTACACACACACACACACCTGTTGAAGAGCTAGAGTTGTGAAATTACTTACCTTCATGTATACATAATGGTGCCAGATTACTACTTTGAAGTGCAGTTGTTGCTGTATTAATTACTCTATCACATATTCACATTTTGTGTAAAGAATTTTTCCACAATTCTGCAAGTTTTTTCCTTTGACATACATTGTTGTTTAGAATTGTTGGAGAGATGGATTTTTGCATATTGGGGTCAATAAACTAAACTAACTAACTAACTAAAGACAAAACTTTTTTTTAAGTTTTGGAGAGAGTGGACAGGGACTAGAAAGCCTGTCAGGTTTTTATTGCTGCATGTGTTCATGTTACAGAGATTCCCCCTCTCTATTTGTCCTATTTACTGTTATCATTGAAAGTAAAAGAAAATCCTGAATTTTGGGTTGTCCCCAGAAAAGTAATAGAGGGGAAATCTTGTAGTGGGGACACTAGTTCTGGTGACCTGGGGGTCCCCAAGGGATTCCCTTAATTTGCAGAGATTTCCTCACACTTCCTGTTTGGCTATGGGACAGGAAGTGAAAGGAAATCTCCAAAATTGGACACAGATGGCGGAAAAAAAAAAATCTGACAGGGGTTATAACTCTCCCTTACTCTATCCAAAATGAAAAAAAAAAAAAGGTTTTGCCTATAGTTCTACTATAATGTTGTTTGGCATGATTTTGTGTATTTCTAAGGTTATTTTGTATTTCTATTGTTTACACTTTCAGAGCAGCACAACACCAGTTAATTCGAAAAGAAAATGTAACCAATTTGTAACCACAGGCCCTTAAACTATGTTTTTGGTAAATCTAAAAAGGAGATTGTATAATCAGATTATAACGTGTGGTGACCTTAAGGACCCCTACTCTGAATATAGCTGTATATAATATTGCAGTCTTACTAGCATTTTAGAAATCTTTAGTTCCTCTGCTAAAATCTTTAGTTCCTCTGACCGAATCAGCTGTTCACTCAATACCCCCCAGTGCAAAACTGCAGCACATAAATAAAAACAAAAACTGTAGTAAAACAGGAAAAAGATCTTCCATGAAGGAGGGTTAAAAGCAGTACAAGGATCTCCTAGAATCAGATGACATCGATCTGATACTTAGAATGAGGTTTACATATTGGTAGAGGTGTTCTTTGATTGAACACATGGCAAAGCAAAAGGGGAGGTCCTTGTTAATGATCCATGAATATAATCAGTCAGTCCTCGGTCAGTCTTCTAGCTGCTCCTCCAAAAATACTATAATCTCCCAGTACATCTCCATATAAGACTGACATGTACAAATTTAGCATTAGAGTACTCTCTTGTCCTGCAGGTTTAGCTTTTCAAAGATGGGTTTCTGTTTTCAATCTTCTTTTGCCGGATAAACTTGTGTAGTTCTTGCAGTTCCCAGGGCCCCAGACTCTGATCCACTCCCGGCATCAGCTGGCTGCTGAGGGGTGACACAAGGTAACCATTTCGATACAGGAAGTACCGTTTGCAGCATTCAAAAGTGCTGAACATTAAACCGTAATAAGGAAAAATCTGACAACAAATAAAAGAGGAAAAAACATTAGTGGATAATATATTATTCTGTATTTAAAGTGATTTTAAACCCTCACCTTACAAGAACAACCCATTAAGTTTAAAATAGAAATGAAAAGGTAAAACATGTGTATAGATAAAAAAAAAAACATTATAAATACCTTTTTTACCATTTTTATAAAAGGGATCACATTCCCCCTGTTCTCAGTTGTATAAGAGCTGGGGAGGAGAGACAGCAGTACACTGATCTTCCCAGTGCAAGGCTGTGCAGGATGGGGGGGGGGGGTGTAGTTAGCTGAAGTCTGATCATTGGAGGAGAGTACACAGAGTTCACAGCACAGGTAGAGAACTGACCATGCTGTGCTCTCCTGCCTAGTGTAGTCAGTTATTAATAGGAAGGCAGAGGGACAGGCAGAAACACCGGGGATTTCATACAAAGGAAGCAATACAGACAACAAGATACTTTTTCATACAAGCAATGGTACAGCAGGGATATATCAGGAATTGGAAGTGTTTTATATATACTTTAAAATTTATTTTATCATCAATATTTGTGATTGGATTTACAGTATATGCGAAAGAAAAGAACCAGGAAGACTATACAGTTTTGGGCTAGAAGCTTTCCTTGGCATGCAGAGACATGCTGGAGACTGAAAAAAAAAAAAATAATAATCACAAAACAGCATTTTGTACAGCACAGGCACATTCATTGCCATTGTACAGTGTTCACCATGCTTACAATTGTGGGGGTATCATAGCCAATGTAAGGCTCCAGGAACTTGAGAGATTCACGTAGGCAGAGTGCCAGTCTTACAAGTTCATGTGAATGGGGAGTGGAAGGGCAGGGAGCAGAAAGCATGAGGCTGGCACAAGCTTATCAGGGCTACAAAAACGTGAATGGGAAACGGTTTGTAATCATTCTGACAGCTTGTGTATCATATGCAGGAAATTCAGACATAAGATCTGTGTGCAGGCACCCACAGCCCAGATGCATATCTTTTAGATCATACGTATGAGTAATTATATCTTTTGTGTAAATGAGTCCTTACTTCATGTGCCCATAGGTTTCAATGGGTGGTCGGACAGAACACATCCCAGCAGCTCTTTAATACAAAAAAAGCAGTTCCAGCTGCTACAATATTCACCCTATTTCTAGCACTGTCCCTCACAAACATACCCAATTTTTAATCCAGTGACGTTTCTCCTCTGAGCTGAATGACACACAGCATCATTCAGCCTACTTCCTGTGATCCCAGGGCTTAAAAAGCCTTATATAGAAATACACTCCTCTACTAATTTTCTATTGTGGTCCAACAACCTACAACATTTTTTGGACTCAAAATGCAAGGAATGTTGGCAGCCCTGCAGATTTCCTCTCCTTCTCCATAGCAGACAAGAAAGTTGTACTTTTTGGGTGCTTTCATACTTGCCAATGCTCCTGCTCAGTGATTAGATGTGAGAACCCCAGAAGGGATTGCTACAATTAGCTGCAAGAGGCAGTACCATTGAAAGCATCGGGAGGGCAACGTTCAGAATTCTTATGTTCCCACCTGGCCTTCAGACTTACCAATGTAGATGGTGGGTAAAGAAGGGCCTATATCATATAGGACACTTTTCTAGACGACAACAGGCATACACATCTCCTCTTACTTTGTTCAACATCTTGAGATGTCCTCCTCAGAAAACTTTTGGTTAGAACACATTTTATATTACTTCCAATCTCTTCAGAAACTTACTCCTGACATCATGAGAACAATTTTTGAAAATAGATGCTTTCAAGATATGGTTCAATGAGGGGGGCAATCTCTGTGTTGTACAAGGTATTCCTTAGCACACCTTCTAAATTGTCTTACCAACTGGCTAGGGAAAGAGATTCAGGAGTGGAAAGAGATGTGGAGAATTGGAGGGCCTGGAACCCACACATCCACAAAAGGTATTATGGATGTAGCTTTAGTTGAGGCTAGATATAAAGCATAATCCAGATGGTACTTGGTCCCGGAGCAAATGTCGAAAACAAACCCTGGATCCTCCTTCCTATGCTTCTTGAGATGGGGCCAGGTGAGAACAGTCTTACATGTATAACAAATGGAAAAGAAGCGAGCGCCAAGGACAATTAGCAGCTGATACACCAAAGGCAACCATAAAATACCTCATAAAATACAATACAACATAGGGGTGTAGCGCTATATAAATATAATTAAAAGCATATAATAAAGTGCCCATATAAAGTGACAAAAATGCAATTCACATATAATAGAGAGCACGAAACAGTTCAAGGAACAATAGTGACTGATGTGATCAAAACAGTCTCTAAAAGGTGATCCGTGTTTTCCTGGATGTTCACTCAGGTGGTGTGTCAGAAGGAATATTAAAAATGCACACTCACCAGATGAAAAATCATAATGCGCAGTGTATATGATATTTAGCCGGAGGTCCCCCTTAAAAGGGGGTCAGCAGCCTGGTCAGGTCCAAGAGATCTCCTTCCTCTCTGGTAAACTGCCACACAGCTGCCGTCCTCCAGGTATGGGCTCTAGGGTAGTATTGGCTCACAAAAGTTTGTAACCGCAGTCCTTGCCCTTTCCATCTTTATCAAAACCCTCCGGTAGTCTGTCTCCTATGCTTCTGGAGATTGGGCCAGGTGAGAATAATCTTACATGTATGGTGGACATGCCCTAAAGTTAGACATTTCTGGTTGCTAGTTTACTCCTTGATATATTCAGTAACCATGGTAAATATTGCAAAGAATGCTTGGGCATCCATCCTAAATGAGCCAGTTGAAAACATTCCACAACACGCTCTATATTAGTTTATTTTATATTTTTGGTGACCAAGACACAATCTGCATAGTGGTGGATTAGCGGTCGGGTGGATTTGGACTTCTAGGCATGTATATCTCTCTCTACTCTTACCTTTGCCCTTTTTTCATTCCTTCCCCCCCTATTCTTTAGTTAATACTCAGGTATACAGTGCATCCAGAAAGTATTCACAGCGCTTAACTTTTTCCACATTTTGTTATGTTACAGCCTTATTCCAAAATGGATTAAATTAATTTTTTTCTTCAACATTCTACAAACAATATCCCATAGTGACAACGTGAAAGAAGACTGTTTTAAAATCTTTGCAATTTATTAAAAAAAAAACAAAACAAAAACACATGTACAAAAGTATTTACAGCCTTTGCCATGACATTCAAAATTGAGCTCTGGTGCATCCTGTTCCCACTCTTGATCTTTGAGATGTTTCCACAACTTGATTGGAGTCCACCTGTGCGAAATTCAGTTGATTGGTCATGATTAGGAAAGACATAAACCTGTCTATATAAGGTCCCAGAGTTAACAGTGCATGTCAGAGCACAAACCAAGCCATGAAGTCCAAAGAATTATATGTAGACCCCTGAGACAGGATTGTATCAAGGCACAGATCTGGGGAAGGATACAGAAAAATTTCTGCAACATTGAAGGTCCCAATGAGCACAGTGGCCTCCATCATCCGTAAATACAAGAAGTTTGGAAACACCAGGAATCTTCCTAGAGCGGGCCGCCTGGGCAAAATGAGCGATCGAGGGAGAAGGGCCTTAGCCAGGGAGGTAACCAAGCACCCAATGGTCACTCTGAAAGAGCTCCAGCATTTCTCTGCGGAGAAAGGAGAACCTTCCAGAAGAACAACCATCTCTGCAGCACTCCACCAATCAGGCCTGTATGGTAGAGTAGCCAGACCGAAGCCACTCCTCAGTAAAAGGCAAAGTCTGCCTGGAGTTTGCCAAAAGACACCTGAGGGACTCTCAGACCATGAGAAACAAAACTCTCTGGTCTGATGAAACAAAGATTGAACTCTTTGGCCTGAATGCCAAGGGTCATGTCTGGAGGAAACCAGGCACTGCTTACCACCTGGCCAATACCATCCCTACAGTGAAGCATGGTGGTGGCAGCATCATGCTGTGGGGATGTTTTTCAGTGGCAGGAACTGGGAGACTAGTCAGGATCAAAGGAAAGATGAATGCAGCAATGTACAGAGAGCACTCTGGACCCAAGACTGTTCATCTTTCAACAGGACAACAACCCTAAGCACACAGCCCACATAACAAAGGAGTGGCTATGGGCCAACTTTGTGAGTGTCCTGGAGTGACCCAGCCAAAGCCCAGACTTGAGCCCGACTGAACATCTCTAGAGAGATCTGAAAATGGCTGTGCACTGACGCTCCCCATCCAACCTGATGGAGCTTGAGAGGTACTGCAAAGAAGAATGGGAGAAATTGCCCAATAATAGGTGTGCAAAGCTTGTAGCATCATACTCAAAACGACTTGAGGCTGTAATTGGCGCTAAAGGTGCTTCAACAAAGGCTCTGAATACTTATGTACATGTGTTTTTTTCGTTTTTAATTTTTAAGAAATTGCAAAGATTTCAGAACTTCATTCATGTTGTCATTATGAGGTATTGTTTGTAGAATGTTTGAGGAAAAAAATGAATTTAATCTATTTTTGAATAAGGCTGTAACATAACAAAATGTGGCTGTGCATGGTAGCCAATCAGCTTCTGACTTTAGCTTGTTCAATTAAGCTTTGACAATAAAACTGGAAGCCGATTGGTTTCTATGCAGAGCTGTACCAGATTTTGCACTCTCCAGCTTTAGTAAATCTTCCCCACTCGGTACCATATAAGAGCTTAGTTATGCTGCTACTTATCTATGACATTCTATTTTGGCCCTTTCTTGTTCAATTGGGCCCGAATGAGGACCGCAAGAATTAGCTTACTGAATATTATGTTTGATATTGCTGTATATTGACCACCCCTGTGCCTCTAAGCTCTTCTTTGGATGAATTGGGCTCATCTTTTCTTGGTTATTTGTACATTTTTTTTACATCTTTGCTACCAGAAAAGTTAGGCTTTCTTCTTTTTGTGGAAAATAGCAAAAACGATTGTAATAGAAAGAAGTGGGATGCTTTTGGCTCCTGCAGCTAACTGAGCCCACTCACACTCATTCAGTGACTGGCTCTGGATGCAGGCAGCCTGCGTCCAGGGCATGTCACTTGCACGTGATTACTGCATGAGCGATCATATGCGAGTAGGCGCCTTTAGCTGCAGAACTCTCATTGCTTTCAATGGGGCTGCCCTCTAGCAGCTATTTGTGGGAACCCCTGCTGAGGTTCTTGCATCCAACTGCTGAGTGGGTGCATTTGCAAGTGTGAAGGAAGTGAGCTAGGTATACCTGATTAGATTCCTTGAGATAAAACACAGGCAGAGCGAACAGGACAACTCAGGTTTTTTGGCAAGATCAACATGTATTCTTTTTACATTTATTGAACAGATGTAAAAAAAAATGCATCCAATGGGATATTTAACAAACCAAATGAGAGCAAATAGATCTTCATTGTTAGTCTTTACATGCACTTTAAAAGAAAAGAAAATTACCTTCAGTAAATTGGCAGTCAATCCATTCCAAAGGCTCATTACTCCTTTTATCTTTACAATTTGTCTAAAACAATCAAGGACTCCATTAAAGTGGACATCAACTGCCCCACAATGAGGAAGGATGTGGCTCTGTGCCTGTAAAAGAGATAAACACATTTACATTCAATGTGTACAGAAAACTGCAAGTCTTCCTCACCACAAAGATGACCACAATAGCCTCTAAAGCCAGCCATACATGGATTGAAATTTGGCCAGTTCAGTAAATTTCAATCCATGTATGGGGGGACAGTAGTTGTACAAAAGTCAATCTACTGATCGACTTCTGTACAACCAGCCTGTCAGATAAATGCCACTCGATGAGCGCTATACCTGGCAGCGCTGAAAATTGTATTCATGCAGCAGGGAAGTCTCCTCACTGTCAGAACACAAGTGATTCTCCCATCCACCTCGAATGTGTGGATGGGGGAATTGGGTCAGTTTTTTTGTTCAACCTGCTGGTTGAATGAAAAAAAAAACAAAAAACAAAAGAATCATCTATGGGCCGCTTAAAGGGAATTAATTAACAACCCTATCCTTGCACAAGTGTCATATCAGGCTAGGCTTCGCCTGTTTAAGGAGGACCCCCCCATAACACAATGCATATAAACAAGTACACTTACCTACAGTATGTCCACACTGACTTTCCTTCTTGTGGATCTCTTATCAGGCTTCCTTTGTGTAGCTGGTGTCCCTGCTCCCACACTGCCATTTTAAAAAGCATTTAATCTTGCATATATGCAAGATGAAATGTATAAATACATGTGCTTTGTTTGGCGCAAGCGCTGTATGACATTACATTCATCATTTTTTTACAAATTGTTATTATTATACAGTATTTATATAGCGCCAACAGTTTGCTCAGCGCTGTACATTACAATGGGAGACAATACATGAGACAGTACAATAACAATACAATACGATACACAAGGGTTTCGAGGGCCCTGCTCCTTGGAGCTTACAATCTAGGAGGGAGGGGATAGTGGTACGGGAGGAATAGCTGTGGGGGATGGAGTGGTAGGAAGAGTGGATATCGGCAATTAGCAGAGGGCGGGGTAGGCTTCCCTGAAGAGGTGGGTTTTCAGGGTGCGCCTAAAGGAGAGGAGAGTAGGTGATAGTCTGATGGATTGGGGTAGGGAGTTCCATAGGATGGGTGATGCCCTAGAGAAGTCCTGGAGGTGGGCATGGGAGGAGGAGACCAGGGAACTAGAGAGAAGGAGGTCTTGTGAGGAGCGGAGAGTGCATTTTGGGTGGTATTTGGATATTAGGTTGGTGATGTAGTTTGGGGCAGAGTTATGGACAGCTTTGTACGTCAGTGTTAGCATTTTGAATTTGATGCGTTGGGCAATCGGAAGCCAGTGGAGGGATTAACAGAGGGGGGTGGCGGAAACGGAGCAGTTGGTAAGGTGGATAAGTCTGGCTGCCGTATTCAGGATCGACTGAAGGGGATAGCCTGTGGTGAGGCAGGCCAGTGAGGAGGGAGTTGCAGTAATCGAGTCATGATATAATGAGGGAGTGGATGAGTTGCTTAGTAGTTTTCGGGGTTAGGAATGGGTGTATTTTGGGAGATGTTGCGGAGGTGGAGTTTGCATGAGTTTGTTAGCGATTGGACTTTGGGCTGGAAGGACAGATTGGAGTCTAGAATGACACCAAGTACTCTGGCTTGTGGGGGGTGGGACTGATGGTGGCATTGTTGGTCGTGATGGAGAAGTCGGGGGGGGCGTGGGCTGGGGGGGGAAAACTAGGAGCTCGGTTTTGGAGAGGTTCAGTTTAAGGAAGTGGAGCGACATCCAATCTGATATGTCGTTCAGTAGGCTAGTGATTCGGGAGGAGACTGAAGGGGTGAGGCGAGGGGTCGAAAGATAGATTTGCGTGTCGTCGACATAGAGGTGGTAGTTGAAGCCATGAGAGTGTATCAGTTGGCCAAGGGAGGAGGTGTAGATGGAGAAGAGAAGGGGCCCGAGGACAGAGCCTTAAGGGACCCCAACAGAGAGGGGGAGTGAGGGGGAGGTGGTAGCGTTACAGGTAACGCTGAAGGAGCGTTGTGATAGGTAGGACGAGAGCCAGGAGAGAGTGGAGTCTCTGAGGCCAAGGGAGTGTAGTTTTTTGAGGAGGAGGGGGTGGTCGACTGTGTTGAAAGCCGCGGAGAGGTTGAGGAGTAGGAGCACTGAATAGTAGCCATTAGCTTTGGCGGTTAGCAGGTCGCTGGTGAGTTTGAGTAAGACAGTTTCGGTGGAGTGTAGGGGACGGAAGCCGGACTGCAGGGGGTCGAGGAGGTTGTTGTCTTTGAAATGGGAGCTTAGGCAATTATAGACTAAGCGCTCAAGGAGTTTGGATGTAAATGGCAGCAGGGAGATGGGTCTAAGGTTGTTCAGGTCGGTGGGGTCCAGTGAGGGCTTTTTAAGTATGGAAGTGATGTGCGCGTGCTTCAGAGGGGAGGGGAATGTGCCAGAAGAGAGGGAGAGATTAAAGATGTGGGTGAGGGAGCATAGGATGGAGGAGGAGGGAGATCGTAGAAGTTGTGAGGGGACAGGGTCGAGGGGGCAGGTGGTGAGGCGGGCTTCAGAGAAGACCTTAGTGACCTCCTCAGTGGTAGTAAGGTCGAAAGGAGTGGAGTGTTGAGGGGGTTTCAGTGTGAGGGATGTTAGGTGGTGTGGAGGTCTGGACAGTGGTGAGGCCAAGGGAGAGGGTGTTGAGGGGTTTACCATGTGAGAGGTGATAGGTGGGGTGGAAGTCTGAGCAGCGGCGATGTCCCTGTAAATTGTGTCAATCTTGTTTTTAAAGTGATTGGCAATCTCGTGGGAGGTGAGTGAGGTACTGGGTGAAGGTGGGGGCAGAAAGAGTAGAGAGTTGAAAATAGAGAAGAGCCAGCGAGGATTGGATGAGAGGGCCTTGATGAGGGTCAGAAAGTAGGCTTGTTTGGCAGTGTGGAGGGAGGAGGTGTAGGTGTGGAAGGCAGATTTATAACGGGTGAACGCTAGTTGGGATCTGGTTTTGCGCCATAGTCGCTCCAGCGCGCAACTGCATCGTTTGAGAGTTTTGGTATGATCAGTCTGCCAGGGCTGAAGCGGTAGGGGTCTGATGCTTCGTGTGGTTAAAGGCGCTAGCGAGTCTAGAGCGGTTGACAGCGAGTTGTTATAGGCAGTCATGGCAGGACAGGGGAAGGATGCTGTCGTAAAGTTGATCAGCTGCAGAGTGGAAGAGGGCAGGGTTCAGGTTGCGGAGGTTTCGGTTGGTGATAGTTTGACATTTGGAGGGGTAGGAGTTAGAGGATGAGGAGACAGAGAAGGTAATAAGGTTGTGGTCAGAGGGAGGGAAGGGGGTGTTTGTGAGGTTGTGGGGAGTGAAGAGATGGGAGAAGACAAGGTCCAGGATGTTCCCGTCGGAGTGGGTGGTGGATTGTATACACTGTGCGACTGCAAAAGAGGAGGTTAGGTGGAGGAGTTGGGATGTAGCCGGGTTATTGATGTTGACAGGGATGTTGAAGTCTCCAAGGATGATGGTGGGTAGCTCGGAAGAGAGAAAGAAGGGTAGCCAGGCGGAGAAGTCATCAAGGAAGCGGGATACGGGTCCAGGAGGCCGGTAGATTACAGCAATCCTTGGGGGGTTGGAGAGAAAAGTCGGATGCAGTGGTCCTCAAAGGAGGAGAAGGATAGAGAGGGGGGGTTTGGGAGGACTCGGAAGGTGCTCAGTGGTGACAGGACAAAGCCAACCCTACCACCTTTTTGACCGTTGGGTCTGGGTGAGCGCGTCCAGATGAGACCTCAATAGGAGAGTGCTGCAGGGGAGGTAGAGTCAGTGGCTTGGATCCAGGTTTCCGTGATCGCTAGGAGGTTGAGGGAGCGGGAAACAAAGAGGTCGTGGATGGTGGTGAGTTTGTTGCAAACCGATTGGGCGTGCAGGAGTGCACACAAAAACGGAGGGGGTGTGTTTTTGGGGAGCAGAGGGACAGGTACTAGGTTGAGGGGGTTGCGGCAGGACGTGGAAGTGGGAGGGTGCCTTGTGGGTGAGCGAGGTGGTGGAGGGCCAGGGTTCGAGGAGATGTCCCCCACGGTTAGGAGAAGAAGAAGGGTGAGAAAGGTGGCATGGGAGCGGGATGTGCAAGAGCGTGTAAGTCTACCAGTGGAGGTGGTTGGGTCAGTGGGAGAGTGGAGTATTAGGAGGAGGTGGTGAGTGCCGTAGAGGGGAGAAGGAAGCAGTGAGGGCGCAATGTACAGTTGTTTGGGAGGAGCAGAGGGATATGGAGAAGAGCTTTTGGGAACGGAGGAGAGGAGTATGAAGAGGAGGAGTGGTGGACAGGTGTGGTGGGAAGCTTTGTTACAGATAGTCTAGCGTGCCGTGGCGTATCTCGCCACTGTAAATAAATCCTTCCTTCAAGACCTAGCAAGACCGATCGTTTTTAAAAAAAATAATTTTCTGCAAATTAGTTTATTGCTGTATGGTGCATGTGTGCATTGAAATCATCATGCATTCCATCTCACGCATGTGCAGTATGAAATATTATTCAAAATGGTAGCGCAAGAGCAAGGACACTGTCTGCACAGAGGAAGTCAGAAAAGGGATCCACAAAAAAGGAAAAGCAGCATGGACATAGGTAAGTGTACTTGATTATATTCTATATTATTGCCATTCGCGAGATCTCAGGGAGAATTTTTTTATTTTAAAACAGCAAATCTGTTTAATGCTGTATGTTGGAGACAGAGGGCATGACTTCATGTGCATCTCGCCCATGTGCAATATCAGCATACTACAAGATTTTGCAGGTTAGGTATGGGATCTCCCAGAAGGCACCAGTGATGTTGCCATCCCAGGGGGTGTCTGTGCAACTGGGGCTATGTCACTAGCACCTTCAGGGGAACCACAAAGTGGACACAAAACAGGAAAATTTTAAGGTGAAAGTTAGTAAAAAGGGGGAAAAGGTCTGCTTGTTGACATCTAGGAATCATATGAAAATCTATTAGTATATGTGCAGCTTTAGAAAATCTGTCCCAATCACTACTGTTCATCCCCAAGATAAGGAAGGAGTGCACACACGCACACGACGTCAGTGTGTGTTCAATGGCTAGGTTTAGTCTAGAAGCAGCCAAAGTACATATGAA